TGAGTCTATTGGGGTCTTTCTTGGCTTGTCTTGATATCTTTACATATTCTGGATAGTAGGATCTTTATGGTTTCCTTAGCACTAAAACTGGCCAAGGCTGTATAACCCAATTTATTATATTATGGTCAGACAGTAGGATTTTTATAGGTTGTATCTTGTGTACAAAGATGCATATGGTAATAAGCATGTATCTTGTACAATGTAACTTATATTGCAAATACTGTTCTCAAGTGGGATTGAATCAGTAACTTGCAGATGGTGACCTGGGAGTGCACCTACTGTACTATTGATCCACAGATTATGCTTTCCTTTATTAAATTAGTTTATATGTATTTTGCAATACAGTATATTCATTATATAATTATATCATATATAAACATTATTTCATAATAAATAAAAGATATAGTAAAAAAGTCAAATAATACACTTGATACTAATAGCAAGAAAGTTTCTAAAGAAAAAAAAACTACTGTAAAGTATCTAAAAACCTTTTTAACCTTTGAAGTGAGAGATTATAAAGGTTTTTATAGTAAAAAGACTTATTTTCTCTCTTTTTGACTATATATGTCCTCTTAGAACTTCTTTTTTCATAGTTTTTTAAGGAATTTTGCTTATCTCAGTTTGATTCTAAATTTTAGATAATATAAATCCTTATTAAAAGTAATTGGTTAAAATAAAACACATTAGTTTTTGAAATATTAACAAGCTCCTATTTATTACTTTTACATGTCTTTATGATATAATTGGTAATTGAAAAAAATGTTTTGGAAATATTTATTCTTCAAAAACTTAAGTTCCTTAAGAAAGATATTTATAATACTAAAAAACTATGAAATAAATAATATTGATTGCAAATCTGATTTTCTTTCCTAAGCTCCTTAGATAAAGACAAAGCTTTAATGAACAAAAGCTAAGGTCTAAATACTTTTTTTGAGATATCTCAATCTGATACTCATTTAAATAAAAAATCAATTGAATTGACTTATTTGATATTATAAATAATGATAAAGAAGATTTATTCAAAATTTAAGAGAAGCAAAAAGACTATTTTAATCAATTATATCCTTTTTGAGAGATTATTTATCAATTTTTTAGTAGAATGAAATATTATTCTCTAGATTTGACTTAGAATACTTCAGTGCAATGACAAGTTAGTTATTATATAAAAAATTTATAATATTATAAATAGTTATATAACTTCTCAATAAAAATTAAGTCATATGACATAGTTATGGGTTAAAAAATATATATATATATATAAATAAATATAAAAAAAATAAAAAATAAATTTATATATTAATTAAAAAATAATATTTTTGAAATAACCAAGTTCTTTGGTTAATTTAAATTTAAAAATATTCTAATTTAATAAATCTTTTTTAAGAAAAAATTATAAATTAATTAAAAATTTTTTAAAGAAATTTTGAATTATTATTATTTTTTTTATTTATCATTTTTAAGACAATATGTAATAATAAACTATTAATGATAATTTTAGTAAATAAAATTAAATATTAAATTATTAGAAAAATAAATATTGTTAAATCTATAGATCTATAGTATAGTGGTAGTGCTTCCAACCACTCTTTCTGCTGATCCTCTGACCATATACAAAAAAGATATTCGCAAGAAGTTTTTAATATTTCTATGCTAATAAAGTCTTACTACTTTCCTTAAACCAACTCAAAGAGTTTCCTCAGAACTCTCTCACTTTCCCTTCCTCTTGTCTATAACCTCCTTTGAACAAACTGAACTCTTGTGGCTTGCAAAGTTCAGCTTCCACCTTTACTACCTATGGCAAGAAAGTTCCTAAAGAGAAAAGGACCAACAGTGAAGTACCTTCCTCCTCTTAGTTATGGTGGAGATAATAGAGGTTAAAAACCAGTCAAAGGACTTATCTTCCCATCCTTTGAATGGTGTTGTGGCCTCTCAGAGCTACCTTTTTCATGACTTTCTGGGGAATTTTGCCTACCTCAGCTTGACCCTGAAATTTTGGGTAGTACAGATCTTACCAACTCTGATTGGTGGACATGAAACACGTTGAAAAAGATTGATAAACAAGCTCTTATTGGCCACCTCATGTGTCTGAATGCATTTCCTTAGCTCCATAAGAACCTGGGGTCCACCATAAGTCATTGGGTCTTGGTGCGGGTGGATACAGAACACCTATCCATTTAATCATTGAATTCCAAAGCAAAAGAGAGAAAATATATCCTTTCCGCTTCTCTACCAAGAAAGAAGAAGGAAAACTAGACTCAAAGGAATACAGAACGAAGATGACGCCTTAAAAGTGCCACGCCTATTCTTTATCAGTATGAATTTTGGAAAATCAGGGAGATTCTAGAATCATTCGCACCTAATCAATAATACTAACATGCAGTCGAAAAAGACCCAAACACGTAACTGAAGAATACGTCACAGGAACATTAGACAATGGTTCAATCTCTACAGATGGTAGTACTTTGGGAAAAACAGTATGATATTTGTCAGGCTGAAAAAAGTGCATGCTAGAAGAAACAAGACTCTTCTTTCTAGGCTGAAGAGAATTTTGTAGTCCCCAGTGCCCTTTTACCTATGTCCTAGAGCCCTTTGAAATTCCGACCTATCATCACCTAGAAGAACATCAGTAGAAGATCCCATATTGGATAGGGTATGGAAGGAAAAGGCAACGAACTGGTAGACAAGGACTACAATATAGAAATACTGAAAGCAGTAGAGGAACAGGCATTGCGCCCTGAACTGATGAAGCTCTTGAAAAGTACCCAGCCCACGATATTAATATGGTAGTAGTAGCATGTCTCCAAGTCATCCATAACTAAACCATTCCTCTTCTTTCTTCCGGTACCTTTTTTGCAATGCAGAATCTTCACCCCTGTTTAAATTTGCATAGTTATAGATTTAAAATTTTTCATTCTAAATAGAGATAGTAGAATGGAGTATCAAATACAAAAACAAAAAAAAACATATGATCTGGAACAGATACAGAATCGTTACAAATACCAATTTCCTCTAAAAGTTTTTTATTGTGCTAATGGCTCTTGTATTAGGTCTCAGTTCAGAAATGGTTTGGTCATGAAGTGGTTTTTTAACCTATCATTAGTTTACTAGTCTGTCATTGTTTTCTTCTGTTATACTTACACAGTAAAATCTTGCTAATAAACTTGACCAAATCAGCATTAAAAAAAAAAAAAAAAAAAGTGGTAGTGCTTCTAGGTTACAATTACAAGATCCAGAATTCAATATCACTTAAATACCAAGTAAGAAAAATAAATAATCAGATTGCATGAGAATGGGACTTCTGATCTCCCCATTGATCACTAAACTAAAATAAATCTATTGCAAAGATTGCATAAAGAAAGGTCTCTGGTTTGATTACATAATTTATACCTGCATATCCTCCTGAACTGGACAGGAAAAGAAATCCTAGAATTCCACTTTTAGGACTATAGTAACTGTCTGATACTCTCTAATTAAAAAATTGTATTGTCAGACTCTAGAACCTAACTATTTTAGTTTGAAATATTTCAATCTGATGCTTACTTAAATGAATGACTTATCAAATAGAGTTTGTTTATAATACCACAGATGGTAATAAAGAAGAAAGAAATCACTTTTGAGATTCAAATAAAAAATATTAGAATATCTAAGTGGTTAAAATTAATCCTTGCAGATTCAATCTAGTATATAAGTTAGTATAAATATATAAAGAGATCTATTGTAAACAGATGTGCTAACTATATCAATATCACTATTTATGACTATTATCAACTACTGGTCTCTAGTTAAGTCTATCTATTTTCAAAGTGATATATAGGTTTAATTAGAACAAGCCATAATAGGTTATTATTAATCTGCATGTATATAAAAATATATAGTTTATATAAGATGATTGATATCATATCAAAAGATCTAAGTTCAAGTTTAAGTTAATTCTTAATAAAAGGTTCACATCTAATACCAGTTGCAGTTAACAAAAAAAAATAAAAATAAAAATAAAAAATAAATAAATATTGATTTTAAAATTTGACTTAAAGTATCTAATTTAAATTTTGTTTTGTTTAGATTAAATTAATAAGTTTTTTATTTTTAAGTAATATAATTTTATTATGATAACATGATTGTAAATTAAAATTTATATAAATTATTTTATTTACTTTTAAATAACTTTATGAATTCAAAAATATTAAATTAAAAGTAAGATAAAGTAATTTTTTATTATATTTCCTATAAAATAAAAAAAATATTTATATTTTAGGATCACAATTATGGGGTCTGAAAAATCCCTGTCCGCCTTCGAAAATAATTACTATATCTATCTGTCAGAGTAACAATTATATTTATATAAATTAAAAAGAATAATTACCCATTGATTGATTACAAATATGTTGCAATAATTACTTTATTTGTAGCTAGAAAGAGTTCGATGCCGGTCCTCTAAACAATGCGGTTAAGTATAAAAAAGTTTTGCGATTAGAAATAATAGCGCCATCACTGATAGAAGAAAAAGGAATCTTCAATAATCTCTTCGATGAAGTTAAAATAATGTGTGTATATACGTAATATTTATGAAACTTTGAAACATTTTTTATGCTGTATATTTCACGTACAGTATAGTAAAATGTGTAAAATTGCAAAAGTTTGTTTGTTTAGACATAGTATAAAAATCGGCGTTACGTTTTGCGCATGTAATAATAGATATAAACAAAATACAACTGCGTAACATAATTTATGCATGACTATATAAGCACCATCAATTACATTTTTTTTTTATACAAAGAACAACGCGAAACCTGCGAAATTAGATGTGAGTTATTTTCAAAGGCTAATTATAATGAGATTCATAACTTGTAAAACGTTTCTAGAGACTAAATAATTTTAACCACAAGCATTATTTTGCTGGTACTAATAAATTTTTTGGCAGTAGATTAATTCGTAACTTATTAAGTAGCCCTTTTGGCAATAGGAAATACTTTAACCAATCTCGATAAAAAACACAAAACATGAATATGGAAAAGAGACGCATTCAAGTAAATGATCATGAGGAAATTTATCACCCAAAGAAAAGATTGCATAGGAGTTTCGAGAAAGATCAAGAACGTCATTCGAAGAAAAAATCCGAAGATTTAGATCCTGACGAATACGAAGTCGAAGCAATCTTGGACATAAGGAGAGATGAAGTTACTGGAAAACGAATGTATCTCATTAAGTGGAAAGGCAAATATTGCACTTTGGCATAAAGGATCTTTCGATTGAATTAATCATATGCTAATTACCTGTGAAATTTTCGACAAAACATCTAGGTTACAGTTCAGACGAGAATACATGGGAACCTCAAAAGAATCTCAATTGCCCTGAAAAAATAAAAGAATATTTGATTAAAAATAAAGATAAAATATCATCGAAACATTTAAAATCGTTCGACGCTCGAGGTAAACATCCTAAGCCAATATTCACAGAAGAACAATTTCAAAAGAAATTGAACGAACTACAAAACAAGATTAGTTACAAGAATAGAATGCCCAGGCCAATGAGTCCTAGGACAAAAAACATGATTAAAAGATATGATGATGAAAGAGAACGGATGGTGAGTATCTTTATTCAAACACATAAAATTAATAGATGATATTGAACCGAATGTATAAATTAACAGATCCAACAGGAAAAGATAGAAAAAGAAGTACGGGAGAAAGAGGAGAGAGACCGGAAAATGTGGGAGGAATTAAAATCCATAAAACCCAGAAAATACTCTCGTAAATACTTTATAGCCCGTTTCTCTATTTGTTTTTCTTAAGGGAGTCTAAAACTCTTTATTTAATATGCAGAATTGAAAGGCTCACATCAAGAAGACAATGATTCAGATGATTCGGAATCCTACTCACCAAGCGCATATTACGAGAAACCCAACGAATTAAATGGCACCAGCGATTCTTATCTCATAACGCCAAGTCGCGATTTGAATCAAACAAACAACAATCATTCGACTACCTCTAATCCTTCGAGTGTTGATATCTCATATTCAGCACCGACTTATGTGCCTTCCTCATTTAACAATTTAGAACTGTCGGAACTCTTGTCCAAAATCAGGCATGAGGAACTTTTAAAGTCACTTCGAGATGCAAACATAAATATTTCGGCTCCAAATTTAAGTTCAGTCTCGATTAGTAACCAAATGGAACAAGAGATAGGGTATGAACTTGGTTTTGTATTTGTCATCGGCTTTTTGGTCATTCAATTAATCAATTTCGCCACAGGGTATCAAGTTTAAATACTCGGAAAATATGGAAACTATACCGAAAGAAAACACCAGATGACAATGAATTCATAAGCGATATAGGATTAAATCTCATGAGTAAACATAGAATCAACTTTAAGTTTCTGTAGGTTAATGATTAGTTGAAAGATCGAAATTTGTAGATTACTATGATTAATATTTTATTGTTATAGGGAAGCTTTGTCAGAGAGGGAAGGTCTCGTAATTGAATCTACTCAACCAATGAAATTTTTATGGCGGATATTTGAGGAAGATATGAAGAGAAGTGCAGAAGATCGAGCGCTTTATCCACTTTATACGATTTTTACAGTAACAGCACCTTTAGCATCTTCAAATAGCCTTGATCATGAATCTCGGGAGCTTAGAAAGCTAGATCAGGTATGACTTTATGTTCAGACTACACGAATAAAATTTTTTTATTTTTTAATTAGGTCATTTTTTTTAGGTTTCCTTCTTCCTATTGGACGAATGGGTGGGGTTCCTTCTTCCAACTAGACCATCGTTATGCAATCAACTTAGGATCCCTATACCTCATGAGGTCTTTCTATTGATTGGTTATAGGAAATATGTTTTCCCCGTGAACTTTCTCGTTAACTGGCCAACGCACATGCTCTCCACTTTTGAGGATTCGAAATATACCTTAATTGGAAAAAAATTTATTGAGAATGATAATCTTTTAAGGTTTTTAAATTTCCTAAATGCCAACGAAACATTCGTCAATGACCCACATCTTGAGATAGTAATGGTAACTATTGAAGTTAAATTTAAAATTCTACATTGCGTAAGATTAACTCTTATTTGCATTCTCAGATTCACCCGGACGCCTTCGAGGAAACCCCTCTTTCACCTCCCTTTCAAAACTTTTCTTTCTTAAAGTACAAAGAAGATGTAAAATTTTATTTATTCCATGAAACGGTCCCCAAGGAAGTCTTGATTTCAGGTGGCATCATTACAATAACTATGAGGGCATTACTGATGTATGATAATATTGTGGAAATTGTAAAAGGATTTCTTAGTAAGGTATGGGAAAATATTTACCCATTTCATACTAAATATTGACACTAATATATTTATTCAACACAGAATGCCAATTGGATTTGTAAAATTCATGGGGAGATATTCAAGTATTTGGACAATTTGATTGAAAGTTGCAATAATGCAAATTTCAAACAACGGTAATATATATCCTTCTTGCATATACAGTAACTTCAGTCTTTCTGTCATAATAACTAATTTAAATGTTATGATTGATTTTGATATAAAAGAATTAAAAACACCAGGGATAAACTTAATCGAGCTGTAGTCGAATTGAAATTTCGATATTTCGATGAAAAAGAACTAGCTGAAGATGTGAATATTTGCATTTATTAGCGATTTTTTTTTTTTTTTTTTTTTGGTGCACCTATTAAAAAAAAAATTTTTTTTTTTTAAAGGTAACGGATGGTAATTCCTACTGTTATAGTTCTATGACAAAAGCATACTATCTACACATGGAATGTTATAAGTATTTTATTGTCATTGATGATTACAAGAGTATGCAGTATGTTCTGACTTATGGGGTAGGTTATCTCATTATATTACGTCGTTATTGTTATTTCTGCAGGTTCAATCCTAACTTCGTCTTTTAGGTTGAATCGATGGATCTGAAAGAATTTGTGAATCAAAAATTTGTTTAAAAAATATCAATTTCCTGGTTATCTATCTATTCAATGTAAATATTTTTATCATCATATAACCAAAGGACTTTTAAAGTTAGCTGACATAGATTATAATTTGCAAGTCATTTATTATTGTACATTAAAAAAAATCGAACCTGATTAATAGGCATTATATTTTTAAATTGCTTAAAAAACAAATTGTATTGTTTTAAATATTTATTCCAATATAATTTAAATGAATTAATAGCTTATATATAAATATTTTTATATATAGTAGCTTACAAAAGTTTTGTATTACTTATCAATTTTTATTAATAAATATATAGTACATAAAAATAAGATAAATGAAATTTATATTAACAAATATTAATTGAAAATATTTATTTAATATAAATATCACTTTTGAATAAAAAAGCAAATTTATAATATAAATTATTAATATATATTTATTATAAATTTTATATATTAATATATTGCTTTTTATTTTGATCTATGGGTCAATAGTGCAGTGGTTAGCACTCCATAGGTCATATCACAAGATTCTGGTTCAAGTCCTCCAAATGGCAAAATTATAAAAAATTCTGTCAATTCTTGTTGAAGACAGGAATCCGCCAGCATAACCTGTTAACCTAGTATCACTTATAGCTGATCATTATCCTGATCAAACAGGTCTATGAGTAGATGATACCCACTTCTGCATCATAAACCTGATATAGTTGAGCACACATCTGAAATAAACCTTATTTGTGCCCGTTGAGTTTGTGGATCCTTAACCGATCAAAAAAACAGATTCTGAGCTTAAAAGAATTGGAGAAAATTCTGGGAAAAGAGTAAACCCTCTACTGGTAGGATGTATAAAAACATAAAGGGTACATTCCAGGTCCAAAAAATCTATCGGGAAACCTTGGTGTGAGAAGTAATTCATGCACCACACTGAAGTACCTAAAATCTCTGGTACAGGTTAAAGTATATACAATGGTTTGATAACTAGATTACTCTATAAAATATGTTCTAGGAAAAATAAGGATAGTATCGTATGTCCTATCCATATACAAAAATATGGAATGATTCTATATACAATATATAAGAGTCTACTTGCTTACCGTAAATAGATAGGTACATAGTTACATTAATATATAATCAAAAATATATACAAGACAAAATT